CAATCCGCTGCGACGGATGTACCTTCCGCTTCCCTACGCCTAGGTTCTATCATACGAAAGAACCACGTCATATGTCCCCCTGTGTCAGTCTGTCCTCGTCGTCACAACGATTCTTAGCATCAGTGCCATCTGCGTGCGACGGAGAAGATACAATCTACCCTCAAAACAAAGGCGTCTCTTTCAATTTTCGGCAAGAATTTCTGTTGTTTCGTGTGGTATTTACCTGTCTTTAACAGTAACGCCCTTTCTGGAGTTATTGCTATCGTTGTCGGGGTCGTCCCCTGACTGCCCCACCTCCCCACCGTGGGTGTTGCCGCCGCTATCGCTACCACCGTTGCTGGCGTTATCGCCAATGAACGAGGCTGCCCTAGCCGCGTCCTCGTCGCGCGGAGACAAGCAGATGCCTGTCGGTATATCAGTGACATTCTAAGATTGGGGCATTCGTTCCTTCACGAGGTGTCTACAGCATCTTCTCACGCGGCGGCACTTCTCCGTCGAAACTGAGAGCAGGCTAAAGAGGAAGGAGAATACCGCTTAGTCATGGTGGTCGAAGGCCAAACTACAGCACGTGGTCACGATGGTCGAGGTTTCGGGGGCTCGCGTGACGACCCAAGCCCAGGGCCCCTGGGGACAGCAACATTCGGGGGGGTATGGCTAAATGTGGCGACCTTTGAATTTTATCCCGACAGAAAGGCAAGGGAAGATGCAGTGGGCGCGGAAGGACATTCTACATTCTACACGGTATGCCAGCACCAGCTGAAACAGGCATTCACTGGTATACATATGCGCATTGCACAAGAACGAAACAGCCCACTTGCCGATACACATCGATCACTTCCGGAAACGCTTTCTTCTTCTTGCCTGCAAGTTCGAGCTCCATGATCAAGCGGCCTGCGCCCATGCTTGGCGCGTTGAGGAGGCCTCTGAGTTCCGGCAGATTCGGTCCCAAGAGCCGACACTTGGTTCCACGAATCCTCAGCCGAATGACAAAGCGAGGGGTCTCCAGCTGGAGCTCTGCTTCAGGAGCTTTGTGATGGGGGGCGGGGAGCAGTTTTTTTGTGGTTTTATTGGGCGCACGGTACGGGGAGATGAGGTTTCAATATGAGAGGAAGGCTAAGGCTTGCTTATAACCCTTTAGGTAGAACCCCGTAGGTTTGCTACTCGTTTATTTACTTCTTGTGGTCCACTGCTGTGCTAGACACAAACATCTGCTTTAGCCGTCGATGGGTCGACGGGGGCAAGGACGCAGGACGTTTAAGGTTACAAGGCCAATTAACTAGCGCCGACAGAGGGATTGGTTCCCGTGTGAGTTTTTCTCGCTTTTTCGGGGAAATTGGGTGGAAGGCCGGGGCCGGGAATGGCGTGTGGTGAGCGAGGGTGCGATTGCAGAGATCGAGTCGTAGAAGACTAAGCCCGGAGCAGTCATCCAGAGGTTTTTTGTGTGTACATGCTGACCGCAACTACGGTAGGTGGTACCCAGGGCGGCACAGCGCCTCTACACCACAGGGAAGTTCATCCTGTGGATTTATTAACAGATATTTCTGTTTTGCGTGTTTCCACGTTTCGTTTTTACAGGTCAACCGCTCTCGTTACTCTTCACGGCAATATCAGGTGCTGTGGTTGGACCCAACACCGTCCTACTTGCCTCCCTGTTACGTATCATCACACGAGAGAGACAGAAAAAATAGTTGCCGCGAGATGGACAGCAACACGCAAACGACGATTCCCGCCGAGGACTCAAAATGAAGATTTAACTGCAGCCATATCCGGCAGATCAAGACGCACTTGAATTCCCCGATAAATCGATAGAGTCGCCGTTGCCGTCGTCGATGCCCTCCACTCTCTCGCTCAAGGGGTCGGGGTCATATATCGGAGTCAGACGCCAACTGAGGTAGGATAGGTCACGCGCGCGGTCCTGTACGACGGCTATTGCGCCCACCCTAAGAGAACGAAAAGGTTGTTTTCCGGGATGTACAGCCCGGGATTGGGCGGGGGGGAGGTCTTGGTTTGTTTCTACATGCACAGTAGTCGTCTGATCAACAGGAATAGAAGGCGTGCAACCTGTGCGATCTACCTTGGTGATTTATCTGCGTACAAAAGTTGAGGTAGCTTTCATTTTCCCCATTTGTGTAATCGTTGTTCTATCTTAGATCGCGCCGCGGCAAACAATCTCGCCGACGGCACGAAACGCGTACTTGAGGATGCCCCTAACGCCCTTCACAGCTGTTTCTGTGCCAAACGGACGCTTTTTCATGCTACGCTCCATATCTTCGGGTACTCGTACAACTCGTGTCTTTTTCTCACACATTAAGGAGATGTACTCTGCCGAGATGGAATCTATTCTGAATATCGGCACAGGTCACGGGAAGCTCCGACCGAGCAATCTGCATTCCAGATATCGGTAACGTCACTAAGATATAGGGATCGCTAAATGTTTGTGTTTCCCTGTGGTTGGCGTAGGAACTCGTGTCTACGGATGGATTCGTGAGGGACGAACGTGATGCACAGATGGAAAAGTGTTTTTTAACGGGAACAACAACGGCTTGTATGGGCACAAGCAATGGCGACAAAATCCACAACATCGACATCCAGAGTGCTGCCATCGGCAAAAAGAACAGGAAAAAGCATCACTATCAACCAACAACCACAGCAGCCGCAGCAGCAGCAGCACAACCAACACCGATACTCCTACCTTGTTGTGTGAACCCGCACCACTCTCTTGGCCGGCTGCCACTCAGCCTCTTCGATGCCCTCAGAAGTCCAACTGGACAGCTCTGGGTCCCAGCACCGCACCTTTGACAAGAAAAAACAACACATCATCACATGTTGATACCGTGTTTCGCCTTCAGTAGCTGGGAGATTGTGACGTTTTCTGTCGTAGCATTCCTTCCAACACAATGTACACCCTATTGTTTTTGAGCGTGGGATGGTATGAGACACCCCAATACTGGTTCAACAGGGCGTTTTCAGATATTTTCTGTCGACAGACGACCAACGGGCACCTTGATGACCGGTCAAACCTGACCTCTCATCTTTGGCGCCGTCCCTCCCCTACCGCACGTATCCTCTCTGCCGATACTGCAAGCTCACAACCCACGGGAAGAAACATCCCGAGGCGACGTAAAGCGTGGTAGTTACGTAAAACCGCCAACGAGACGACGCCAATAATTACGTCACCCTTCCTCGTCAACGAAACATTATTTCAGCTGTGGAAACAATCTTGGGTATAGCCCATGTAGTAGGGGTCATCTTGCGTACACAGGGTACGACAAGAAACATCAAAAGCCCTCTAGAAGGCCGTGGGGCATATTTCGAAGCACACCAACCACGCACAAAGGTCGGAGATAAGTTCCTCCTTCTCTACGAGTGAGTGACAGCTACTTTGAAGTAGCGCGTCATTCCAAGGTGGCCCAACTCGTCACCAGTTATAACAGTCGATGATCTCGTTACCACTGTTAGGATCACCTGCTACTTGCACCTCAAAACCAAAACTTACCCTAATCGCCCTTGAAACAGGGCCCATATATGAAACAACTACTTGTACACGGCTAAGAGCTTTTACCCCAACCAACAACTCTCGCCAGAGACATGCGCTTCTCTTTGGGCTCTCCCGCAAACTTCAAGCAACACCCCCGGCGCCTACTCCGAGCATGCACACCCTAGAAGAGCACTCACTCTTTCCCTGACAACCCAACACTCTAGAGCCGGCAGACAACTTCTTCGTCGCGGATTTCAACCTCAATCCCCACCAAAAACTCACGTCTTGGCCCCAGCACTTTTTTCTAAGCATCCCCCCCCCCTCCCTTCCCTCCGGGTCATACCTTTGGAGCCTTTGGGATGATAACGCCATCCGGAATCTCGAACTGCACCCTCAAAGCGGGCGCTAGAGCCGCGTTGCCGCCATCGAGAGGGTACGTCTGCCGGGCAACGGCCTTAGAAAGCTCCGTCTCCGCGCGGAACACCCATCCCTGAAGAACGACGCGGTTTTCCGCAAGAATACGGGCCGCCCGGGTTACTTCAGTCGTTAGGGTAGCTACTAGGTGGTTGTTGGAACCTGTTTCGCCTGGCAACACACTCGTTCAAGTCTGGGTGGGGTTGTAAGGTCTCAATACAATCGCTTGGTTGCTGCATTGGGGACTGGAGAACTGGTTGAGAAAATATTCATGGTACGGACACCAAGGATATTACTCATGTTACGGGTTCGCGAGCAATGTAGTGTGAGAGTGCAAGATGTGGTCCTCCTATGGGTTGATTTCCGCCGGTTCAAAACCGAAAGAACCTTCGGTGGTAACGCGAGCGGAACACGACACTCGACACGAGGGATCAATCGAGGGGCTGTAGGTCGTGAGCTTGCGTGCAACATCACCGCTTTTCCGAGAATGAAGGGGATTCGTGACCTCGGATCTCACGGGAGAGCACTTGTAAAAACAACCGTATAGATAATACTGAAGCGTTTGCGGGACTAAGACTTGGGGGGTTCCTCTCGAGTCCGTCTTACCTTTATTTTCTTAATTCCCGGTGGAAGGGCTACGATCTCCAAGAAAAACGTGCCCCCAAGCACGATCTTTTCGTCCTGTGTAGCGTGAGTTGTGTAGGCATGTCGAGGGCGGGGGCACGGAGAGGGAATGGGTGAGAAGCGAGGCAACTGGGCGAACGACCAACAAACTCTGTAGCGTGATACAGGCGCGCTAGATATCCAACGGCAACGAAATGGACGTACAATAAGTGGTTTTTCTGCGTAGCGTGGGTTCGTAATGCATGGCCTTGGCTCGGGCAAAGTATGGTTTGTGCCGTTGTTTTCGACGCTTTCCTGCCTTTCATTTCTCTTCATGAAAAACTTTCCTTCCCGTACAACGTTCTAGAGCAAATGAGATTGCGGGGAGGGACATCGAAGAGAAGCCTTGGCCCCTCTTGTAGCATAGGAAACTTAGCTGGCTGAGTAGGGTTTCCCGATACTGTAGAACCACACACACGTCAAGAGAAAGCCATCGTTTGCGTCGTTAGAGGTTGCGTGTGCGCAGCTGTGCTATTTCCACCTTTTGCGCTGATCCGTCATTCGGCACAACTCCCGGAGCGGTGTTGGCATTAGATCCATCTGCGTCATCCCCCACCACTGATGTCCCGGGAACCCTGCCGGCTCCGATGCTGTCGTTGTTGCTGTTGCCGTTGCTGTTTCCTTGGTTGCGCACGAAGCGGTATGGCACGAAGATGTTCCGAACGGCCACGCTTGCGCCGGAAAGAGGACGCGGCACGTCCGTGCTCATCCCCGCTGCGGCAAAATCCACCGTCTTCATGCGGAAACCCTTGAGGCTGACGTTGACCCACACCCCGAAGCGGATCCCGCCCGCTGTCATGCACGTGCGGTCGAAATCCTACCAGAGGTAGAGAGAGTCGATCGGGGGGAGTGTTTTTTTTGGCGTTTATGCCGGAGAAATATTATCTAGCAGTGGTAGAGGCAGGCGCGCTGGGGGATGATACTTGAGCAAAAGATGTTTCCCGTTATCGCATTTTGCAAAAAATGTCAGAGTGTGGCAGGAGCACCACATACCGGAGGAGAATGGACGCTCGGAATCTTACGCACTTTCAACGCCAGGTTTGATGGAATATTTGCGCCATTTTCCAAACCAGTCACATCACGTCATTGACAGTCAGTGGCATACCCCGTCAAAGTGAGACAAATACAAACATGCGCGAATGCTGCATTGCCCCTGGCTGCATGGGTGGTACCAAACCAGCGTAACTTGTTATTTCCTCGGTGCCCAGGTCGTGTCGTCTACCCCGCACCCGTCCCGGCGATGCTTATTTTCATGACAGGCGAATGTGCGGCATAAAAACATCATACCCTGGTCAATTGCTGTCGAATATAAAGCTTACCTGATCGCAACACGCACAAACCCTCTCCCGAACATTTTGGTAAATAAATTGTACGTGAACTCAACGTCGTCCCGTCTTCATGTCAGAGAGCCTACTACCGCCACGCGAACTGTACGTACGATGTATGAAAATTCTATTTTCTACTCGTATTTATAAGGTAGACTGCCTTTCTTGTGGCGTACCTCGTCTCCCCCAGAGAGTGAATCCCAGTGGCTGAGGAGATGCGCGGTGGCGAAGTCAATCTTGTCGAACGACAGGCCACGGAGGAGTTCAAGAAACTTTTCGTTTCGGGCCATTCGCGAGATATCGCCGTTCTCAAGCGACTGGCCTGTGGGTTTTGAAGTACGTGATTTGGCCGTGAAGTGTGTGCTATCTGGGTTGTACATGGCAACTGCTGCTGCTTGTAGTGACCCTGTCCATGTTCAATGTGCAAGCCAAGACTGCGCTTGTAGGATCGTGTTTAATCTAACGGCCACGTGCAAACCCGAGAAGAGAAGTACACACCAACGAAAAGCCGACCAACTATGCAACTCTTAAGCCCATCGCGTGCAGCGAAGAAACAGCAAGGAAACCTCTCCTGCATCTACTTAGCACACATAGAAACCCACGAGGTTCGTTTGGTGGTTGTCACCCACTTGTACGTAGTGAACGGCGAGTGTCAGAGGCCCTTGCGCTGGAAGATACTGAAGCACAGCACCATTGACCTCCAAGCCACCATGTCGGCGGCGTGAGCGTCGGGACAGCGCGTAGAAAAACTCTGTTTGGTGCGCATGATACGATCGCCCGTTGTGATTTCTTACCGATATCGTTGAGCAAGTCGGCCGCGATCGACTCTCCGTAGACGCATCTCTCCATCGCCTGCTCCAACTCTGGCACCTAAACGTTGAACCAGAGGAGAGGGTTCATTTCACACACAAACCCAACAACAACAGCAGCATCAACCCCACAAAGAAAGGCGACGGTGAAACCCAGAACGGCAGCAATGGTACAACACAGAAGAAAGAGCGTTACTAAAATGATAGAGCAACAAGAAGTGAAAACGGTCAGCCACAACCGCAACAACATCGGCAGTAACACTAACACCACCAACCTTCCACCACGACCACCGCAACCACTAGTGCGTACACAAATCAGCTGTGGGCAACAAAACCAGTAGATTCGGTGGTGTTAGCCCTTGCCTCTTCATCCGCCCCTTGGCTGAGGAATGTGTTGAGGGCCTTCTCGCTGGCGGTATCCGGACGTGGATCACACTTGGTGTACGTCTCCCACGACGACTGCACTGCCTCCAGTTTCTCCGCCCACCGTAGCCTCTCTTTTGTCTCGGCCATCTGTTGTTCGCGATAAGTCAAAGCCATCAACTTAGAAAACTACAGTGTTCCGATATACATACGCTGGTGGATGTGGATGAGATGGAACAAGCGGGGAAGAGTCCTACCGAAGGTGCGCGTAGGTAAGAGTGATGATGTTGAATGCGTAGTTGGGCTCGAACCCGAAAATGCATACCAGCGCGAAGCTGTTCCGAGTACAGAACATGAGGATGTTGACACGAGACGCAGGACCAGTGATGATGTGGAGGCACAGTTCATTATAGCAAACCTGACACCTACTTTCCGTTGGAATTGAGTACAGCTTGTAATATCAGACCATCACGACCACACATTACGTCACGAACGCAAGCTACGTAGATGCATACAATTGTAGTGTGGAAGAGGTACTGTCGATCCGCAAGGGTAATTTGCCGCGTGGCGCCTGTACACTTTCCTTTCCCCCTTCAGCAACCTCAACCAAGCCACCAAAGGCAGGCAAAATCAAACCATAAGACCAGTCACCGCTGGCTGGATGGTTTGATTCCGGTTGCTTCAAGTGGTTTGGTTTTAGTTGCTGAAGGGCAGAAGTGTACGAACGCACCGTGGCAAACTACACTTTCGGGCACTCAACAACCGAAGGTCAGTCAGGGCTGACTGATGGTCAGGTTTGATTTCGGTGTATACGTAAATGCATTGCGGAAAGCATCGACCTCCCCGAACACAAACCCACTTTCATAACAACTTCTCATCTGCGTCGGGGTGTTCAATGTTTTACAGTGAACATTTCAACACCGTCGTCGGGCTCCACCTTGGCTTGTGGTGCAAAGTGCCAACCCGAAGTGGCCCTCTATACCTTGTAGCTCTAACAAAATGTTGAACGTTAATCACCTGATCTTGTGCTTCTTGCAGCTCATCAGAGAGGCGTTCGAGTTCCGCGGTCCTATCTGCGATCTGGACACGGCAGCAAGATTTCCGGTATGTACGAGCTTTGGAGTCGGCGTGAATAATTCTGCGCGATATCGGGGGACAATCTGATTCTCACACAGCGTGCTTTGATGGAGAACTCGCAACCAGGTACACTAAGGGTGCCTACAAACTCGAGAGGTATGCTGTTCGGAGCGAGCACGTCAGTTGAATACAAGACACCACCGAATCTAGGTTCGGATTCAGGTGCAAACACGCGAACCTCTGCACAAAAACGTGCCCCACCACCAGCATCTAGTGTATCCTCATCCTATCCAACATCCAGAGTGTGCCGCCCGGGAGTGCCTAGATGACGTACATGCCGTGCTGTTGTACGAGGTTGACAGGCGTACCAACCACTGAAGACGCTGGCAACAACTCATTTGTTGACCTCTTTGAACAGCAGTGCATGTTGTTGCCTTGCTCTCTTTCGTAGACTGAGCACAAAGAGGAGCCCTACGTTCTCCAGAGAGGGGCTACTATGGCTCTCATCCCCTGCAGTATCCTTCGACCAGGCACTAGCCCTGAGGAATCCAATGCAGACTCCCCTACTCCCGCGACTTGACATTCGATTGTCGAATCCAGAATTGAGAGGGTCGAGGATGCGGACCTCTAAAATACCACAGTTCGCCCTCCCACACCTCCCAGTATGTATGTCGCAAAACCATTCCTTGACGACCAAGAATACTGCTCGAAGTACAACAACATGCAGAACGCAAAGAAACAAGGCTGTGAAACTGAGACGCAAATCAAAATTGACAGTACTGCGGTTCGTGCATATTGGTCTTAACACGATGCATGGTCTGTCCTATCACGCGCACCTGGTCTTCTTTGAGTCTTTTGGCGTCTTCTGCCTCCTTCCGAATCCTCTCTGCCTCCCGCTTGGCTCGAGAGATTTCCGCCTTGCGCTCTTCCTCCTCGGCCTGCAGGCGCTCGGCCTCCTTCTGCGCCTTCGATTTCTTTTTTTTAGGACCCACTGCTGGGGAAAATCGCAGGCAAACCGGGCGTTGTGAAAAGCAAACCACCCATCCATCTCAATGCCCTGATTGCTAGACACCTTGATAGCAAAGTCTACTCCTACTGGCAGATGGACGTATACATACATACCCATCATCATGCGGTAAGGCAACGATCTCCACGAAGACGTACTACGTAGATGGGCCTAGTCACGAGTGATAAGCGCAAGAACAGTTCCATAGATGGGCCGACGGCTTGCTGTAGTCAGACAACGTGGTGGAACAGACAGAGTTCGGGGAGGCTCAGGAATATTTTCTACATGGATATGCAGAGTAAAGTAGGTTCCATTTTTCTTGAAGAAACACAACAAAGTACTGGAATCTCTCTCCAAAGAAAAGAGTCCAGGATAGTGTTGTTTTAATTTATTGGTACATCTCGTCGCTCATCAAAGGGTTCGCCTGCCAAACGAGCCTGCCTCTCAACTCGGAACAGCTCCAATCCACACAGAACCGAGAGAAGGCGAAGAGCTTTTGCACGAGGTGGTATGATATCATACCATAAATGCGAGAAGGGGTCAGCAGTCCCCTCTACGCAACACATGATGGTCAACATCCGGAATCGTATAGAATCTTTCGCGCAGTCTGGTTGGCCCAGAGGTATCATGCTCTTGCCTGTGGCCTATACCTACTTTGGCCTCCGGGTGTTCACGTGATTGGGTGGTTGAATGGATCTGTCACGGATCTTACACAAGGTTAGTCCGCTCGTTCGGGTGCAAGGACAGGTTCAGCCATATCATTTGTGTGTCCGCTGGTTATTCTGAAAGGTCGTACTCACTTGCGTGCAATCTTCAATCACTCTAGCAGGGTAACAGGAAGGGTTCAGTTGGGGCAGAACAGCACTTCGCAGACATCACTTTGGGTGCGCTTTATTTTTTACGGCGTTTCAAGGTTCAAAGCACATGTATGTGCCCTTTCGGGTCGACTTTTTGGTTCTCTCGAGGTTTGGCCGCGCGGCAGTCCAAATATTGTTGCGAAAAAGATCGTGCGCGGTGTGCGGGTATCTCTCTCTCTCTCTCTCTCTCTCTCTCTCTCTCTCTCTCTCTCTTCTCTC